TCACAAACTTCTAATACATGCTGAGCACATGCAGTCAGCTGGGTTCTGTAGCTACAGAGAGGCTGAGCAATGAGCTTTGGTCTTTGAGACATGATAGTCTGACTGGAGAGAGGACCTGTACGTAAGGGATGCAGGAGTCAATATGAACTAATAGTCTAATGTCTATTTACAACATTGCTTTCCTGGGAAAATCACCAAAATACTGCTGCTGAATGAGTAATTCCGTTATGAAGACAGCAAGTAGAATATTCCAATTAAGGCCAAGTGATTCAATGCAGAGATCATTTGCTTCATTAAATTCTAAGCTGTGACTCATGGAGGCAGCCCAAACTGTGTTTGTACTTGCTCATCTCCATGGAGTGCTTCCCATATTTTTGCTCATGGGTGGTGTTCCTGGACTCTGCATCAGAAAGGCCTGAGCAGCCACATCCCACTGAAGTCATTCCAACTAAAGTCAGTTAAGGAAAGTCATTCCCTCCCCGCATCCCTGTGGCAGCCTCCAAGACCCACAGTCTGAGACTCTCAGAGCCTGCCCTTAGGTCCTGTGTCAGCCTGCCCCGGGATGTAGCTTATTTCCCATCAACTCCTGCATGTCCTACATGGGCCACTCAAAATTCCTCTAGAAAACTGATCGTAAGCTGAGGCAGGAGAATGGTAGTAAGTGTGAGGCCAGCCCAGACTAGTAAGACTCAAGAGCAAAGACAAAAATCAACAAAAGACAACCAGAAATCCGAGCTTGTTTTATGTCTCAACTCTGCTGAGCCTTGTCCTCTAACTGGATGGGGATCAAGGGCTCCATCCAAATACTGAAGTCCAGATCATGTGCTCTCCCCCCATCCCCAGTTGCTCCTTCCAGGAGCTGTGCATTAGTTTTGGCTGTACTAGAGATTGAACTCAGGGTCTCAGGCTTGCCAGGCAAACACTCTACCATTGAGCTATACTTCCAACCCTCCCCTCCCTCTACCTTCTTTTTTTTTTTTTTTTTTGCTTTTAGTGTTTGGTTTTCTGATAGAAATTCATGCTCACTTTGCCTGGATTGGCAATCCTTCTACCTATGCTTCCTGAGTATCTGGGACTGCGTGCATGTACCACCATACCCAGCTTAGGTCTTCTTTCATGAAGTACTTCCTATCTGTTGGGCCTCACCTTGTATTTTTTCCACCATGATAGCCATCTATATCTGTAAGTAATCTTAGGCCCAATAAAGTGATGACAATGGCCTGTATTATCACAATAGCACAGATCACTTACTACCACAAATAGAAAGTAAGAATAATGCAAATTATCCTCTAGGCTTCCCATACAACAACCAGGCCGAGTTGCATACTCTTATCTGTAAGCCACTCTTTCTCCAAAGCCCGCACCTCTTCCTGCTGCTCCTCTTCCAGGAAACATGGTCACTATATAGCCATTGCCCAAATCAATGCCCAGAAGTTTTTCTTCCTTCTCTTCCCACATAGAGTAAGTCATTTTGTCCCATTCCAGTCTGTATGCCAAATTCCTTGGGTATCTGTCCTTTCTCCCTGCATTCATACTCACTGTCTTCCTGGAGGCTGGTTATTCATCTCCTGGAGTTTTGCGCAGCCTTTTCGCTAGTTTTCAGTACCACGGCCTTCACCTCATCCCACTGTTGACTCCAACAATCCTCTCATCAGCCCCTTGAGATCTCCTGGCCAAGGAGGTAGGGGAAATGGACTGCCAGCATCTGGCATATCAAGGCAGAATGTGAAGGAAAGGGTGGACAATACAAAGTAAGGGGAGGCAGGCGTGGGTTAGGAGGCTCAGAGTACAGCAGAGAAGCTGAGATTCTTGGATTTGTCCCTCAAGAGAACTGTGACTCCACCACAGAGGGTCTTCTGGTCTTATGTGCTTTCCCTTCCAATGAATAGCTACCACAGCAAGCAATAAAATATACTTCCTGGAATACCACATGCTATTTCATACCCAATTTATATTGTTCTCCTTAACATTATTTCAAAGAAACAATGCTCCAACTGCTCTGTCTCTGTGGAGAATCACTTTCATCTTTTACAACCAAGCTATGACAGCACCGACGCTTGCTCACAATCAAGATTGCCTGCGACACAGTGTCTGGCGATTGACTAAACATTCAGGTCACTCACCTCATGCTTGCTCATCGTCTGCTTGAAGCACACATCTGAGAAGCGAATGGAAGGCCATAGCTTACTGCGAGCCTGATCCATCTTTCTCTGGCTGGGGCACAGTCATGGTGATGTGCTCCCCAGATGGTTAGCTTGCAGCCTTATACTGACTGCCTCATGTGGTGGGATTTTACCAGCAGAGATTCACAAGTGCTTCATGCCAGCCCCAGTCAGGGGCGACCTCACGGCCTCTCTGAATCCCTACTGCTCAGCACTAAAGCTCAGCTCTGCCAAAAGGAGAAGGGAAGACCCAGGAAAGAGATGCTTCTAGCAATGGCGACCATTCATCCTCTTCCAGCCATTCAGGAAACTGGTCATTCGGAGGATGACCCGAAAAACAAGCAGTTAACCACTGCCTTGGATGTGGTGTTTCTGCTGGAAGAGAGGGACATGGAGAGGGACAGTGGGCTCCGAGGGACCCATGAGCCATTGTGGATGGGCTTTTCTGGAAGAACAAGCCATCCACGGCATCCACTGTATTTATAGAGTAATCCATGGTGAACATTAAGATCTACCATCCAACCTGGGCACTGGTGACTCACATCTATGATCCTAGCCACTTAGGAGACTAGACCTGAGGATTGGCCTTTGAAGCCAGACTGGGCAAGAAATCTACAAGTCACGTATGTTCAATTAACCACCAAAGAGCCAGAAGTTGGAGGTGTGGCTCAAGTGGTAGAGCGCTAGCCTTGAGCATAATAGCTAAGAAACAGCACCACGAGGCCCCAGTGTCAGCACACACACACACACACACACACACACACACACACACACACACACACACACACACCATCCACTGTGATACGCTAGATGCTGCCTTGCTGTCAGAAGCAGCTGCTGTCTCCAGATCACAGAGAATTTGCTCCTGGTCACAGCAGATCAGAGAAAGAGTCCCATTCTCCCATAGCTCAGCTATTACGTGTCCTTACACTCCACAGGGTGAAAACACTGTTCTGCAAGAAAAGGATGTGTGCAATGTTTTAAGAAGTTCCATGATGTGTAAATAGCAACTCAAATACAAACAGCTGGAGGGGAGGTTTGCCTTGGATGCTTTGACATTGAACTTTATGTTCCATAGAACAAACAACCTGCCAAAAGAACGAATAATATATACAGGCAAATGTCCAGGGGCCCCTTCTGGATGAAGAGTCATCTTGACCTCAACCTCTCAGTATGGGACTCAGGAGACACTATCATGCGGACAAATCCTGCACAATGGCAAAGGCCTTCTTACATTTGACTTTTAAAACAAATATTATTTCTGGCATAGAAGCACGTGGCAGAAAAAGCAGCAGAGAAAGTCTTTCAATATTAAATCAGCAAGAAACACATACACACATACACACAAAGCAAATCTAAAACTGGAGAGGCCTGAGCTATACTCTCGAGAATTGAGAGTTACTTTTCACCTACATCTGGTGAGGGCAGGAAAATGGTTTCTATTAAAATGAGGCTTTCTTTCCATCTCCCTCCCTCCCCTCCCTCCTTCTCTCGCTCTCTTTCTTCCTTTCTCTCCCTTCTATTTTTCCCTCTTCTGTCTCTTTTACCTTCTCTCCCCTCCTCTTCCTCCTCTTCTTCCTCCTCCCTCCCTTCTCTTCTCTCCCCTCTACCTCCTCACCACCCTCTCCCTCTCTTCTTTGAAAAATGAGCCACTCAGATAAATGAGAAACCCTTATCAGCCTGGATTTTGCTACTTTTCCCTTAAATAATTTTTTTTTTTGGTTTTCACTGCTCCTCCTTTTAATTTCTTTTCTTTCTGTTTTATTGTTTGTAAGTTGTGGGGCTTGAACTCAGGGCCTGGGCCTTGTCCCTGAGCTTTTTCACTGAAGGTTAACTAGTGCCCTACAGCTTTGAGCCATAGTACCAATTCTGGTTTTCTGGTGGTTAACTGAATGCAAGAGTCTCACAGACTTCCTTTCCCTGAGTATCCTCAGATCTCAGCCTCCTGAGTAGCTAGGATTATAGGCGTGAGCCACCAGCACCTGGATCCTCTTAATTTCTTAAAAGAAAAAAGTCCCTGGGGATGAATCTTATAATGAGCATTGTTCAGAGCACATGCTTCATACCTAAACAGATATGGGGCTCTGTCACTGATTTGCTAGGCAATTCTGAGTAAGTTTCTTAACCTCATTTCTGAAGCCAGTTCTTCAGCAGTTAAAGTAGGTCCCATTGCTTTCCCCGAAAGCTTGGCGAAGCCTGCGCCCATTATGGCATCAGAACCATCCTGGCTTCTATCCACCCTCTTATGCCCAACTTAGCAGGTGGCCTGGATGGCCCTCCTAAGTTCATGAGGGCGAGAAATGACGTTCCTGGGCATTTCTTGAAGCGATCATCCTCCATAGGAAGTTATCAAGACTCTAGTGCTTCTTCTCCAAAAGAAGTTTTATCTACTTTTACTACATCAGAGAGATTTGTCTATAACTGTCCTAGCTAGTTACCTCATTAAAACTCAATTTCCTTTCCTCCCTCTCACCCTCCCTCTTTCCCTCCCTCCTTCCCTCCCTCCCTCCCTTCCTTCCTTTCTTCCTTCCTTCTTTCCCTCCTTCCTTCTTGCCTGCCTTCCTTTCCAAAGAAGAGAAAGCTTTCTTGTTTCATATCTTCCAAGGAAGCTGATTTGGCTTATTATAGAAATCAACAGAGATATAAATTATGGTGTTCCCTTTTTTCCACCTTTTCTTTTAATTTAGGGAAACATGCCAGCACCAGGCTTGGGAAAGACGATAGTTCACATGACCATCCTGGACATTCCTTATTCTTATGCTTTTGATAAATGGCAGTCAAAGGTTACAGGACCATAGATGACATTTCTAAGGAAATCACAGCCAACGGCTTCCTTACCCGACAGTCTCTCTGAAGTGTTTTCATGAGTGCGTTGTACGTTTCTGTGTCGAAGTACAACCCTTCGTGCATATCCTGCAAGAAATCCAGGTCCTTAAACGTGGGGTTGGATTTCTCCCTCTCTTTTCGGGAGGCCCTTCGTTTATAAGTTGAACCTTTCAAGTCATATGTAAAGTGCATCCTTAGAGCCCTCGGCAAGACGTTGTTCATCACCACAATCCGTATGTTGATGCCTCCGGACTGCATGCAGTACAGCCCATAGAATTTAGGCAAAAGAGTCCTTGGATTCTGGTTTAAATTCTAGAGGCAAAAGAAGAAAGAAAAATATGTACAATATTTTCCACTTTTACAAGACAATATTTTATCAGAGACGTGCTTTCATGCCAATATAGTAACAAAAAATGGCTTATCTAAAAATGAGTAACTAAGGCTGGGAAGGTGGCTCAGTGGTAGAGTGCTTGCCTTGCATGCATGAAGTCCTGTCGATTCCTCAGCACCACATAAGCAGAAAAAGCCAGAAGTGGTGCTGTGGCTCAAGTGGTAGAGCGCTAGCCTTGAGATAAAGAGCTGAGGGACAGTGGCCAGGCCCAGAGTTCAGGCCTCATGACTGACCAATAAATAAATAAATAAATAAAAACGAGTAACTAAAAACAAGATGTGGTTATCTTTACTGGTGTTTACTGCTAACATATTGGTTTATAATTTCTTTCCCTTCCTTCTTTCCTTTCTTCCTTCCTTCCTTCCTTTTCTTCCTTCCTTCCTTCCCTCTTTCCTTCCTTCCTTCCTTCCTCCCTTCCTTCCTTCTTTCCTTCCTCCCTCTTGCCCTCCCCTCCTTCTCTTCCCCTGCCCCCTTCCTTCCCTCCCTTCCCCCACCTGTTGTGGCAGTACTGGAACTCAAGGCAGATGCTTTAAGTATGTGCAGCTACTCACCATGTAGTAGCCCGGTAGTAGCTTTTGAAGGAACTCTGCTTCTTTATGCTGGACAGTCTTAATGATAAACTCATCATCACTGGTGACGAAAAACAAGGAGCCACTGGCTCCGGGGTTGGAGAGCTCTATGAGAGGTTCACTGCAGATGGAGTACTAGAAGAGTAAAGGAAGACGTGTTTGATGGTGTTGATGGTAAGAATGATTTGAGATGCTGACGATCAAACTCAGGGCCTTGCATAGACCAGGCAAATGTTTTGCCACTGAGCTACACTCCTGGTCCTAAGGAAATATTCTTAAATACACTCTTTTTTTTTCTTTTTGGCAATACTAGACCTTGTGTACAGAACGCTCACCACATTTCTGTCAGACAAATGACTAAGCTTCACAGTTGAAGTACAGTAGATCTCACCTAAATGCTAAAACTCAGCAGAGAAATCCACTTTCAGTTACTGGGCTTAATGCTGATTAATAATTCATATTCTTGGCCAGTGAAACATTACAGTTGGGGACAGAGATAAAAAGGAGGCTCATTGTGTATGAGATACAGACTGGCCTGGTAAAATCCATGATTTAGATAGGCTTTATGCCAAGGGAGGCCTGGACCATGATTCTCCTATTTATACTTCCTGCTATTGCTACCACACTGACTCTGTGAAAGGATCTGTCTCATGAACTTTTCGAATGGGCTGGACTAGACCTGTGATCCTCCCAACACCAGCCTTCCATGTAGCTGAATGACAGGTATATGGTACCAGACCTAGCTACTAGTAGAGTTGGGGGATCTTGTGCACTTTTTTCCCAGGGGTTGGCTTGGAGTTATGACCTTCCAGATTTCAGCTTTCAAGTAGAAACTTTGTACCAGTGGACTACGATTTCTCCTTTTCCGCACACTCTCCCCCGTTCTCAGCCCCTGGTAGCCACAACTCTACTCTCTGCTTCTATAATTTTGCCATTTTTTTCAGATTCTTTCTGAGTAAGTTCATGTGATATTTGTCTTTTTGTGTGTACCCTTACTTCACTTAGCATAAGTTCCTCTTCCACCATGTAGTTGTGAATGACAGAATTTCATTATGTGAAAAGGCAGAGTCGTATTTCACTGTGTATTTGCAGCATGTTTTCTTTTCACTTTTCTCCCCTGATAGACACCTAAGTGGATTCCATATCTTGAGGAGGGTCAACAATGCTGAAATGAACAAAGGTATGCAGGCGTCTTCTTTGATGTTTGGATTTCTTTCTCCAGCTACACACCCAGTAGTGACATTGCTGAATCATATGGAAGTCCTTATTTGTTTGTTTGTTTGTCCTAGACCAGGATTCAGACTCTTGATTAGATACTTCCACTCATTGGCTGGCACTCTACCACCTGAGCTGTGCCTCCAATCCTTCTTCTTTCTTTCTTTTTTTTGTTGGTGTGGGGCTTGAACTCTGGTCCTGGGTGCTGTCCCTGAGCTCTTCAGCATAAGGCAAGCACTCTACCACTTGAGCTACAATGCCACTTCCAGTTTCTGGTGGTTTATTGGAGATAAGAGTCTCAGGGACTTTCCTTCCCCGGGCTGGCTTTGAACCATGATCCTCAGATCTCAGTCTCCTGAATAGTTAGGATTTCAGGCGTGAGTCACCAGTGCCTGGCTTTCTTATTTGTTTTAAGGCATCTCCATACCATTTTCTATAGTGGCTACCGTGAGCTATATCCCACCACCAGAACATAAAACTTGTGTTTTCTCCCCATGCCCGACAATGCTGGTTATCTTTCATCTTCGTGATGCCTGCTTCTCTAACAAGTAAGAGGTGATTCCATTCTGGTTTCAATGTATATCTACCTGATGATCTGTCATGTTGAAAATTTTTAAATGTATCTATGGGTAATTCATATACCTTCTTTCAAGGGATGTCTATTCAGATCCTTCACCCATTTTTTCCATGGGGTTATTTATTTTCTTGTTATTGTATAAGTTGAATCTCTTATATATTGGTTCTTGTATATTGGTTCAATCTCTATTTTGAAGATGGACCTCTTATCAGATATATGATTTGTAAATATTTTCTCCCAATCTGTAGGGTTTTCTTTCTTCTTCATTGTGTTGCTTCTTTTGGTGTCTGGAAGCTTTTTGGATGGATGCAATCCAATCTGTACAGTTGTCCAGTTTTGCCTTTTGTTGCCTGTATTTTGGGGGTCATATTAAAGGCTTACTGTTGTACAGCTTTCCCATGTTTTCTTCTAGTCATTTTGTAGCTTTCAGCTTTAAATTTAAATCTTTTGTCCATTTCCAAGTTGATTCTCTGTATGGTTTGAGATAAAGGTCAGTTTCATTTTCCTGTATGTGGACAGCCAGTTTCTAGGACATAAAGAATTGAAGAGAATGCCCTTTTCCCATTGTGTGTCTTGGCACCTTTGTTGCCAATCTACTGATTGATTTGTGAGTTTATTTCTGAGCTCTCTAGCCTATTTTACTGGTCAATGCATTGGATGATGAACCTGTTTATTCTTATTTCATTTTTGTGTGTGTTAGTACCACATTGTTTTGATAATGATCAAATTTCAACTTTGCAATATTGTCACATCTTGAGGATATAGATATCTGAATATACCAGGGCTGAAACTATTCCAGAGTTTTTGTTCTGGGTTGGTACATATATAGTCTTTTCTTCAGGAAAATCTAAAAGGAGGAAGAATGAGAGGGGAAGGAACAGGAGAAAGAGAAGGACTAAGAGAACAATTAAAAGCAGTTTGTAGATGCTCTTGTTTTGGCAGCACTGTGGACAAGGGAAATTTGGGGGAAGTTCCCCAAGAAGAGAAGGAAGGAAGTGTTTGTGGCTGCCTGGTCACTGCTGACTGCCTCTTTCTACCTCCACTTGTCTTGTTCTTGACACTCTCTTGCTATGCACACTTAGAACTTAAGGCCTTATGTATGACAACAAAAATAGCCATCAGACTGTGGACAAGACACCATAAAAGCCAAGAGGAAGCCAGGTACTGGTGGCTCATGCTTGTAATCTTAGCTAACTGAGAAGGCTGAGATGTGAGGGTTGAAGTTTGAAGCCAACCCAGGAAGAAAAGTCTGTGAGACTTATCTTCCATTAACCAGCAAAAAGCAGGGCTGGAGACATAATGAACTGGTAGAGTGCCAGATGTGAGAAAAAGAAAAAAGCTAAGCTACAGTGTGAGGCCCTGAGTTCAAGCTCCAGCACCAGCACCCCACACGCAGATACAGACACACACACACACACACACACACACACACACACACACACACACACACACACAACAGAGATAGGCCTTTTCCTTCTCTGAAATCCTGAACTGTTCAGCATTTGGCCTTAATATATTTATTTCCTGGTTGTGTTAATTGTCTTCCACATCATTGATCATTCTAGAGGGATTCCCAGTTCTCTGAGTGGTATAACTTAAGATTTCTAACATCTCCCTGTAACTTTTTTTTTGGGGGGGGGTCCAGTCATGGGGCCTGAATTCTGGACATGGGCGCTGTCCCTCAGCTCTTCAGCTCAAGGCTAGCACTCTATCACTTGAGCCACAGTGCCACTTCCGGCTTTTTTCTTTCTGCTTATGTGGTGCTGAGGAATTGAACCCAGGGCCTCATGCATGCAAAGCAAGCACTCTACCACTGAGCCACCTTCCCAGTCCGCTCCCTGTAACTTTAGCCAAAGTCTTTATTTTAGATACAAAAGGTATCTAAAGTACTCTCAAATTTGAAAATGAACCTTTTTACCTGGCCCCATGGATGAAGACTTCTCGGTGAAACCATTGGATTAGTTTTCTGGGCTTCTTTCTAAACACTCCAGCTCTAAGGCAACTCTACTCTGAAACTGGTTTTTCGAGTAAAAGACTTACTAGGAAACCTAGTTAAGCCATGTTAAAAGTTATTCAGAAAAGGGCTTCCCCAAGAAAAGCAATTCTGTAACATCAGAAAGAATGTGGGGCAAGAGACAAGGCAGGGCTGGGGACAGTCACCTTGTCCCTCTGTGGCCAGTGTTATGATATGTGAATCTATGGAATCTCTCTGGTTGGTGAGACACTCAGAAGGAGACTCTATTAATTTCTAGTATGTGTCACGAAATGAGCCGTGGAGCTTGTTTCTCAAAATATTCAGAGTTCCCCACTCTGAATGATGGCAAGTCTCAGGAATGACTAAGGCCAGAATCAAAGGATCTTCTCCAGCACAGATACATGTGCTTGAATTGGGAGTGATGGGCAGAGCGGTACCTTGCATTCTGGTTGAACATCGTGGTGAGGCAGAGGGCCATATGGAAAGATGCATCTAAGGCAGCAGGATGCCCAGTGTCTTGAGATGTAGCCCTTGCTGCGTTGTGGAGACTTATTCTTTGAAGAGCTAGTAGTATCTCAGTGTCTCACTGTATGGAAATTGTATGATTTTCTTAGGGACCAACTAAATAAGAGAATCATTCATAGATTTTCAGCAGTGCAGCATGGTAATTGGTTTTGAATTTCATTACTTATAGCTTACACATATGGTAAGGTGTGTTTTAAGTGTGTGTGTGTGCGCGTGTGCATGTGTGCGTGTGTGAAAATGTTGCTATACTTCCTCTCAAAAGAATTATTTCCAGTCTGGCTCACATATGCTTAAAAACATTCAGAAGGGGATGAATAGCAAGTATTTGATTCTTGAAAAGAAATTCTGATGAGCTCTTAGGGTGACAACAGTGACCAAACTATGACATAAACATTTCCCAGGAAGTTCCTGGTTCCCTGAACAGGCATAGGATTACAAGGCTACTGTCACATCAGACATTACAAACAGGCTGTTCTGTTTACACCTCCTAAGCTAGAAGAAAGACAGAGAGGGAAGAATCCAATTTAAGAATAAAACATGACTTTGTAGGCCAAGAACCAGTAGGCAGAGATTGGGAGGATTGTAGCTTGAGGCCAGTCTAGGAAAAAAAAATGTTCTTTGAGGTCTAATCTCAGCAGAAAAATCTGTGCATTCTAGCTGTCATAGTAAGTATAAAATAGGAGGTTCATTGTCTGTGCTGGTCTGGGCTAAAATTAAGACCCTAACTGAAAAAATCATTAGAGCAATAGGATTAAAAGGTTGATTCAAGTGGTAGAGGGCCTGCCTAGCAAGCATGAACCCAGAGTTCAAACATTAGTACCACCAAAGTCTCCTTGCCATGTATATGTAAAACTGTGTTGAAAATAGCCTATCTCCAGTACCAGATATCTATATACATATATATGCATAGAAATATATAATCTAGATATAGATATATAGATTATATAGATTATAGATAATAGATTACTATACATAGATATATAGATTATATATCTCTATGCATATATAGATGATAGATTATATAGATATAGAGTATATATACATACTATGTATATAGTATATATATACATACTATATATGATATACTATATACATACATATATATCTATATATAGAGATACATATCTATATACATACTATGTATATAGGTATATCTGTATATATGCACATATGTATATATAGAGACTGACAAAGACAGAGAGACACATAGAGAGAGATAAAGAGAGAACCTGCTTGAAAGCTTTTTCAAAATAGTTATGAAGATTTGTAGGTCAAGGAGAAAACGGTTGTAGGCCAAAGGAGATCTGAGATGAATGGTATAAATAAGACAACTAAAATAGGCAGGTTCTCAAAGAGAATCTAATCAGTAAAATTCACAGGAGTGTTTAAAACTAATTATAATGTATCTGTTAGAATAATTATCTGAAGTAGCAACTGATATCAGTTATTTAAATACCAACCACCAGAGCAGATTTTGTAACTCTCAGTTGAAAGCTGTGGAGTCAAATCACATTTCCTGAAGCTAAATTTATAATCATTATCAAACTTGGAACTATTGCTGTGCTCCTAAGCTTTATAAAATAAGAGACACAAGGCATTTGCCACTGTCGCTAGGAGACAAATGTTTACATCACACATTTCTGGAGGAGGAAGGAAAATTACAGATTTCTTACCAAGTAATCGTCAGGCTTGATACCAAAAAGTTCTCTGAAGTACCGGAATGCTAGCGGAGCATATGTCTTGAATCTGAAGTCTGGGTAGTGATGTGCTGGGGTCAGATTGCTCCCTTCACTGCAGTCAAAACATCAGAAAAAGGAGGCAGAGAGAAAGAATATTAGTGAAGACAATTTTGACTTCAAATTTGAACTAGTCCAAAGATTTGATTCTAGAATTGTTTGTCCTGGGCTGATTTCATTTCTGCTAAGGTGGGTCGATCCAAGTTCACATCACAAAATCAAGGGCCAATCAGTAACTGCTAACTTGGTGATAGGCTAACTTGTTCAGGTTTTGTTGGCCAATCACACTATGCCCTGGCCTGGTCATTCTCCATGGTTTGCCCTCCCCTTTCTCCTTCTTGGAAAACCCATCTTGTCTTCGCCGGTGAAACCACACTGTAATGCTTTAATAAGATCCAGGAATTTACTGTGCAGAAAGATTTAAAAAATAGATTCTTTGGTTGTGAAATCTCTAAACTAGATAGAAGCTTGCAATTAGGAATAAGGGAAATCATTCTCAAACAATCCCAACCAGAGAGAACCATTGGACCGAACCAGTGGGATTTTAGTCTGAATCCTTTCTTTTAGCTCTACCATCTGAGTCATAGCTCCACTCCTGACTTTTTTAGGTAGTTAATTGAAGATAAAAATCTCATGGATTTTCTTGCTCAGGCTAGCTTCAGAACCTCAGATCTCTGTCTTCTAAGTTGAAAGGATTATAGGCATGAGATACTAGTGCCCATCCAAAATGCCTTATTTTAAAGGCTAGGACCACACTCAGGAGGGATACATGATGTATTCATTGTGAGAGTGAGGCAGAAACTCAGGCTGGCTTTGAGGCCAGCAGTCACTATCTCCATCTCAGAACAGAATGTCTCCCAAGCCAGGCGCTGGTGGCTCACACCTGTCATCCTAGTTACTCAGGAGACTGAGATCTGAGGATTGTGGTTCAAATCCAGCCCAGGCAGGAACGTCCGTGAGACTCTTATCTCCAATTAACCACCAGAAAACCAAAAGTGGCGCTGTGGCTCAAGTGGTAGAGCACTAGCCTTGAGCTGAAGAGCAGAGGGACAGCATCCAGGCCCAGAGTTCAAGCTGCATGACTGGCAAAAAACATGACAAACAAACAAACAAACCCAGATTGCCTCCCAGGCTGTCTGTCTGCTCATGTTAACAGTTTCTGTTTGCATAAGCAAGTGTGGCCAGCTATATCTGAAAAATTTCATTTCTCATTTTATAATTGATAAAGAGAAATACACTCAGCTGTAGGTCTCTTGGAGCATCCAAGGGATGTTTCTAGAACTTCTATAAGCATGTAATGGTGTATAAATGCAGGCTATGATACAACGGATAAGTGTCTCATATCTAAAATATACCTGGAACTCAAAAAATTAAATTCCCCAACAACAAATCCTCAAAGAACAACTGCCTGATAAATAAGTGGGCTAAAGACTTAAAGAGAAACTTCTCTGAAGAGGAAAGAAGGATGGCCAGTAGACACATGAAGAAATACTCAACCTCCCTAGCCATAAAAGAAATGCAAATCAAAACAACATTGAGCTACCACCTCACCCCAGTTAGAATGGCTATAATCAAGAACTCTAATAACAACAGATGCTGGAGGGGATGTGACCAGAAGGGAACCCTACTGCATTGTTGGTGGGAATGTAAACTTGTTCAACCACTTTGGAAAGCAGTATGGAGGTTCCTCAAAAGACTCCACATAGAGCTCCCCTATGACCCAGCAATCCCACTTTTGGGCATTTACCCACAAACAAGAGCATACTAAAGCTATCAGTACAACTATGTTTATTGTAGCATTATTTACCATAGCTAAGGCATGGAACCAACCTAGATGCCCCTCAGTAGATGAATGGATCAAGAAAATGTGATATATATATATGTATATATATGTGATATATATGTATATATATATATATATATATATATATATATATGAATTCTATGCCTCCATCAGAAAGAATGGCATTGCCCCATTTGATAGGAAATGGAAAAACTTGGAAAAAATTATATTAAGTGAAGTAAGCCAGGCCTAAAGAAACATAGGTCCTATGGTTTCTTATTTGCAATAACTAGTATATGTCTGGGACAAGCAGAAAAGATTAAAAGCTATGTACTTATGACCAGATAAGATGATGTTAAGTGAAATGAACCCCAAGATAGGGACACAAGTGGTGTTTTCTTTCTTGCTATTGTTGCTAACGTATTTATAAAGTACCATGTGATTTTTTTTTTTTTTTTTTTGCTTTGTATGTTTCTCCCCTACGGTATAACCCGTTTTCACTGTATTTGATGTCGGTATAATTTGGGGAGGGGAAGGAAAAAAACAATGTTTAAATAGGGATACAGGTTGACCCATTGTAACAATGAGATGTACAAGACACTGTTGAACAACAAACTTTACAATTTAGGCAGGGGTGGGGGGGTGGGAGAAAGAGGGGAGTGTAGTTGTGGAGGTGGGAGGGAAGCGATGGTAAGGGGAAAAACAAAGGAGGAGGCAACAATGCTTGATAAGAAATGTACTCATTACCTTGTTCATGTAACTGTAATCCCTCTATACAGTATTTTTACAAAAAAAACCATTAAAAAATGTGGGCTATGTAGAAAAACGAGGTGAAAACAAAGAGGCTCCAAGTGACCTTCTCCTTTGCAAGCAAGTAAAAATAATCCCACCGCCTCGCTTTGAAGGGGGCAGCTTTCACTGGGTGAAGAATGTTGCCACTGCCTTATTTCTTCTGCTCTTTTTAAACATACTTTTCTCTCTTTCATACGATCTAAGAACCTCACTCTCTTAGAATTTCTTCAACAGACCAAGAGGTAGCACCAGATTCACACACACAGCATGTCTCTCATATTTAGGTGGCCTTTAGCCCAGACACAGCATTCATTCATAATTTTGTGTTTGGTTAATTCTGACCTTCTTGGCTTGATCACCTTGGCTTTCATTATAATTGCTACCTTAGGATTCACAGCTCCTGGCTTCTGTGTTTAATTCAGTCATGGTGTAACTAGCACAGTATTAGGTTTCCTGAGACAGGCTGACACTCAGACCCATGTGCACACAGAGATGCATCTGCCCACAGAGAACACCTCAAGATTAAAAAAAAGAAGAAGATTGATTTCTTTAAGTATATATTGTAACAGCTGGGTTCAAAAGGCACCACATCATAACGTTTAAAAAATAAATCAATCCATTCAGCTAGCTTTGGGTCACACGAAGACCCGGAAAATGGACCCTGCTATCTTTGGGACTAAGGGCCTGTCTGTCATACTTCGCAGAGGAATTACACAGCGAATATGAAACATGTATGGATGAATAATGACCTGCTGAGTTTACACAACCTCAAACTTCTCTCTGTGTGTAGGGAGAACCGCATTCCTAGTGGCTCTTGTAAGTTATGGTTCCAGCACACCACTACTGGTGTGTACTTTACCCCTAGGCCTTATGAAGTATATCTTCCTCTGATCCATATTTAGACTACTTTGGACCCTTTAGCGCCATCCTGGAATCCTAGCTATCCTGCATGGCAATTAAGAGCATGGGTTTTATAGTCCGGAGAGACCTGAGTTCAATCTCCATCTGGGCCACCTGCCAGACTACACCTCAACTAATGAAGTAGGAAGTGACTAGAGACACCAGTGCCTGGGTCCGTGCATTCCCTCAGTACCGTTGGATGGACGGGGAGATCTGGCAATGGTAAACAGCCCAGAGTTCAACTCTGCATGTGAACAAAGACTTGACTGTGCCTTTAAAGAAAAGGATAAAGAAATGACAAAGGAGGAGGAAAAAAAATGTAAAGTCATATCTCAAAGAGCTAATCTCTTAACATATAAAGCTCTACTAGCTGGATGCCAGTGGCTCCCATCTGTAATCCTGGCTATTCAGGAGGCTGAGAACTGAGGATTGATGTTTGAAGCCAGCCTGAGCAGAAAAGTCTGTGAGACTCTCATCTCCACTAAATTATCAAAAAAATTGAAAGTGGAGCTGTGGCTCAAGTGGTAGAAAACTAGCCTTGAGTGGAAAAGAAGCATCCAGGCCCTGAGTTCAAGCCCCAGGACTAGCCAAAAAGAAGAAGAAGAAGAAAAAAGCTCTGGTAAACTGCAAAGAAAACCAATTAAAAAATCACTTTAAAATAGTCAATGTTACCAAGCACTTCATAGAAATGCATTAAGAACCCTGGAGGTAAAAGTGTTACTCTCTGTCCAGTCATGCTCATACAACTCCAGTAATAAACAATAAAATCTCTTTTTTAAAAGACAAATACTGATTTTAAGTATGAATGTGTTCTTAAAAAATTAATCCTCAGAGCCACAAAGCAATGTCTCTCATGTTCTCCAAGTGCAGTATCTTTTTTACTTTGTAATTCATCTTCTTGGGAAAATACTGCCAGTTATGGTGACATTTCTAAATTAATATAGTTAAAAGAGATAATCTTTGTGCTACTTCTTGTCTTCTTATATTAAGGTGGTAATTGCTTTTAAATGGTTATCCTCTCTCTCTCTCTTCTTTTCTCTCTCTCCCTCCCTCTCTCCCTCCCTCCCTCCCTTTCCTTCCTCTCTTTCCTTCCTTCCTTCCTCCCTCCCTCCCTCCCTCCCTCCCTTCCTTTCTATTTATTTTGACAGCTGTGGGGCTTGAACTCTGGGCCTGAATGGTGTCCCTCAGCTCTTCAGCTCAAGGCTAGCACTCTACCACTTGAGCCACAGCGCCACTTCTGGCTTTTTTCTTTTTGCTTATGTGGTGCTGAGGAATCGAACCCAGGGTCTCAGGCATGCAAGGCAAGCACTCTACCACTGAGCCACCTTCCCAGCCCTCAATCCTCTGATTTTAGCCAGAGTAGTATGGATTACAGACATAAGCCACAAGTGCCTAGCTCCGATTTTATTCTTTAAATGTATGGCTTTGTGGCATTAAGTTCATTCATTCTATTGTACAACCATTAACACTATACATCTTCAGATGTATTTGTTTCTATGCACTGATTTTTTTTATTCCTCCTCAGACTGATGGCATAGATGGGTAAATTTGGTGCTTTTCGCAAATATAGTATCAGAACATAGTATTTCTGTATAGTTTCCTGGAGAAAATTTAAGTTAAAAGCCAAAATAAAGGGGGGGGTTGACAATGGAAGCAAGGCTGAAATTGTGGGTCCCCCAGTCCAGTATTGTAAATTAGGAAAAGCAAAACCGTGGCTTGGGTACTGCTTCATGGAAGCCCTCTTCTGCCCGTGACAGATATCACTCTGAGATTATTGCACCCTTTCCTCATTGGATTTCAAAACCCATCTCCAAGGTCTTTCAGGCCTTTATCATAATGAAGTACAACTGACCCATAGTAGGAACCCACATATCACATTCACATAAAAAAAATAACGCAAGAGTCGGGTACTGGTGGCTTACACCTGTCATCATTGCTATTCAGGAAGCTGGGATCGAAGGATCGCAGTTCAAAGCCAGCCTGAGCAGGTAAGTCTGTGAGACTCTTAATCACCAATAAACTACTCAGAGAAAACAAGAAGTGGCGCTGTGGCTCAAGTGGTAGAGTGCTAGCCTTGAGCACAAAGAGGCTCAGGAACAGTGCCTAGGCCCTGAGTTCAAGCCTCAGAATGGGGGAAAAAAAAAAAAAGCAAGCCATCTCCTTCCAATGGAAAAACTTCATATGGTATGGCAGCCAGAGGACCAACATGGACTCTAGGACTTGTAAAGAAGCACATGGTAGTCCTTCAATGTGAGGATATCACGGTGAAGGTTCCTTAGCATGGGACTGATCACAAATATCAATGTTCTTACCTGGGGAGGAATACACTTTCCACCACATAGAAGTCTTGCATCAGAACGTCTCGTTCTGGCTTGGAGGTGAGGTTCCCCACCGTGTAGCCTATTCCCAGCTGGATAGCGCCTTTAATAGCCGATGATGCAGTCTGCAAAGAAACAGAGGGCTCCAAGTTAGCCTCCATGGCGGGGCATTGATCAAGGTCATGAGCAGAACCTCATGAGGGTGAGGTTTCATTTCCTGCCTTGTTCTTACACAGGAACAATATTGGGGCTTGGAAAGATGGCAGGTTGCTCCTTTTGATGGGAAATCCGCTCAGAAATATTTGGATCCTTCTCATGAAATTATGTGTGTGTGTGTGTGTGTGAAAGAGAGAGAGAGAGAGAGAGAGAGAGGGAGAGAGAGAATCTTTCCTACAAAGGGGTTTTAAAGGCCAAATGCAAAATAGTCACTCAGAAATTTGGTGGATCATTTTCAATTCATAGGATCATTATTCTTATCCAAGGAGAAATGATATAGTCAGACTATATTTTTTTCTAAAAAGTCAAGACTTTGTATAGCCTGCTTATGGATCAGCAAGACTATTTTAACTACAAGAAATAAGAGAGTAAAAAAATTACTGGCATCTTTGATGTTTACACAAAATTTAATTCAGAAATTGCTTACTAGCCTTGCTAAGGAGTCACAATAAAATTTTCTTACACTGGTTTGTGACAAAACAAATAGCCTTGAAACAGTTATTTTCAGTTACTATGTTTTTAATATCTCCATAATTGGAGGCAGGGTTAACTTGGAGATTAACTGTTAGGTGTGTATATGTAAATATGCATGCATGTAAACATACATGTGTATACACATGTGCACATATGTATATGTACATATACACATATGTGTATATATACAATACATACATATATAAATGTTTTTGGTGATTCTGGTTGAATATATATTATATTCAAATATATATATACATATATTTGTATATGTATATGTGTATATATATATATATATATATATATAGTTTTAACCAAATAACAGGACATAGAATAATTCAACCTAAGAAAATTAGAATAGCTGGGTGCTGGTGTCTCATGCCTGTACTTGTAGCTATTTAGGAGACTGAGAGATGGTGATTTGAAGCCATGGGCAGGAAAGTCCATGAGATTCTTAGCTCCAATAAAAAAAGTCAGAAGTGGGGCTGTAGCTCAAGTGGTAGAGCCAGCAATAGCCTTGAAGCTGAGAGACAGTTCACAGGCCTGAGTTCAAGCCACAGGACTGTCTACACACACACACACACACACACTCCACATACACCTACAAAAAAGAAAATTAAAATATATTCTTCTTGATGGTGAAAGGGAATCATACTTTTAGTATCTTGCAAAGGAAATGCAATACCACAAACACAGTAGAAACAAATCAGTGCGTGAATCAGCAGTTCTTCACCTGAGAAATTTACAAGTCTGTAGACTCTTTGATACCACACCAGTGGGGCGGGGGGTGGGGGAGTGGTACAAGCGGCATTCAGAGGCCAAGGATGCTGCTAACTGTCCTACAATGCACGAGACTGCCCACTCCACAAAGAATTATCCAGCACCAAATGTCAGTACTTCCAAGGTTGAGGAATCCTGAATTAAATGAATATAACAAAGACAATCCATTTTAATTAAAAAGACCTTTTTTGAGTCAATAGTCTTGTTTTCCAGACCCAAGATTTACCCTCCATTCCTTCCATGCCTCATTGCTTATTTATTCCTTCATGCCTTTATTTGTTTATTTGGTGGTACTGGGGTTTGGACTCAGCATCTCTCACTTGCTAGACAGGCACACTACCACTTGAGCCATGCTGCTGGCCCTTTGTATTTTTTTGATTCAGGTATTTTTCATATAGGTCTCACTTTTTGGGGGAGGGGGGAGCTGAGGTTGGCCTCAGATCATGATCCTCCAACTTACATTTCCCGAGTAGCTGGGATGACAGGTGCACACTACTATGTCTGGCTTATTTGTTAAGATGGGATCTCACTAATTTTTGCCCAGGCTATCCTCAGTAATCCTCCTGATATCCATTTCAAGAGTAGCTGGCATCTTAGGTATGCCACCACATCTAATCTTCATGGTTACAATACCAAAGCACAGTGTTTTTATCTTGAAAAAATTTTCTCTTGAGCTGGGCTTATTCCTATAATCCAAACTTCTCAAGAGGCTGAGATCTTAGGACTGTGGTTCAAAGCCAACCCAGGCAGGAAAGTCCATGAGACTCTCATCTCCATTTAACCACCAGAAAACTTGAGAGTAGAGCTGTGAGAGTAGAAGGTAGAGCTGTGGCTCGAAGTGGTAAAGCAGTAGCCTTGAGTGCAAAAGCTCAGAGACAGCGCCCAGGTCCCCAGTTCAACCCCCATAACTACCACCACCACCACCAACAACAACATAATTATCTTGATTTCTGTGATATGACCTGATCCTAGGACCATTCCCAGTTTTTCTGATGGTGTCTTCTGTCATTTCCATGATAAGTTCTATGAAGATTGCTATTTCCTATTATTTCAAAGTTCCTAAAAGTTTGATTCTTGATCCTTGGAATCCTTAAGACTTAAAGAGTTAATAGTTAATAGCTTCCCTTTGTGACTTAGCATAGGACACAGATCTTCTCAATCTATTTGGATGTATTCTGCTACCACATAGAGAATACATAGTTAGAGTAATATCTTAGACCCCCTCCACCCCACTTCCTCTCCCAAGGCTCTGCCATCCTCCATGATGAGAGCCTGAACTCCAAAGAAACCACATCTAGCAAAGGGTTAGGTCCTGACTCCCTTGAAATGGCCAGGCTGAATCAGCCCTGAGCAGCCTGCCTCCTGACCCCCATATAATGAATAACAACAAGTCATCATTGAAGCATCTTGGTTATTCCACTGCAAACATGATGCTACCTCAGGTCTAAGGACAAGTACGCTAATCTTTGGCCATGCGAACAGTTAGAAACATGGCTTGGTGGCTTTCTTCTCTCATATGCCCTTTGATGTAAGATCCCATGACAGGAAGATGCAAAAGATTGAGACCAAAGCCACACGTATGTAGCACTGTTTAAACAGTTTGCTATTTTCAATCTCCCTCTCTTGAGTTCTGCAACCAGCAGCTAGCATCAGTGGCCTATTGTACCAGTAACTGAATTCTAAAGGCTGAAATGGATGTTTCTCATTGTAGCCTTCCAGAAGAATCCCAAAGGCATCACCCTTCCCATATATCACATGGCTAATATGGCATGAGGTGTGACAGGAGCACTTTCCAGGGACCTGGCATCCTGAAATATTCGGTGCCAGTCCTGTCAGCAGACTGAGGGCAGGCTCCTGAAGGGCTTTGTCCCCCCTGTGCTCCATGCTTGAGTCTGCTTTCTAGAACTACCTGTGTTTCTGCTTAGTTCATGGGCTCACCAAAATAAGTCATCTAGGACTTCTTGTGCTGGACCAACTTGTCAGGCAGAGAGTATATCCTGTCATGCCTTGATGTCCCTGTTTTCTTAGACTTAAGGGAGCTGGAGACTTGCTGGAGATGTTGGTAACATGGAGGAAAGTTGGGTCATGTTCCTAGAATGTCTGACTCAAGACCGTCTGTAGGGAGGTACATTCACTCGTTTTGTTCTAAAGGTCTCTGAATATCTTTCTCCTGGGGGATGAGATAATGTTTTGGGATCCTGAAAGAATACAATTTTGGAAAACAACAACAGCAACAACAACTGAGCATGGTTGTGCATACTGGTAATCCCTGTCAGTCAGGAGTCAGAGGTAGGAGGATCAAGTTTGAGGACAGTAAGGGTAAAATTAGCACCTGACTCTATGGAAAATACAATTAATAACAAAAGGGCTGAAGCATAGGTCCAGTGGTAAAAGTAAAACCTTGAGTACTTGGGGGGGGAGGGCTTGAGAAAAGAGGATCCCATTGATATCCATTTAGTTAAAACAAAAAAGCAGATATGTAATCATATTGCTTTTCTTTCAGACTCTTTAGAATTCAAGTGCTTGAATAGGAGAAATAATAGAAGAAGAAATAAAAGCTAACCTTTTTAAAATTTTTGTACTTGAACTAAGGGTCTCCTCTTATTTGCCAGGCAAGTGGTGCTATCATTTGAGCCACACCCCCAGCCCAGAAGTTAATCATTTTTATGCCAGGCACAATTACAATCATCCTCTGTGGTAATTACAGCAAAAAACACGTGGCAATCACTGAGAGGCACGCACTGTTCTCAGCGCTTGCTGGCTGTGTTGGTGTTGATACTCACTGACAGCAAGCCTGGGAGGCGGAATGCAGGCAGAGCCTTCTCTCATCTAAGAACTAACATCCATAGTGTGACAGGGGCTGGATTTGTTATTATTGTTGTTGTTATTCTTGTCGTGGGGCTTGAACTCACAGCCTGAGCACTGTCCCTGAGCGTGTTTGTGTGTGTGTGTGTGTGTGTACGCGCGCGCATCCATTTTTTCATTGTTATTATAAAGGCGATGCACACAAGACTGACAGTTACATAAACCAGATACAGGGTACATTTCTTTTTAGACAAAGCCACCCCTTCCTTTTCTCTCTCTTGGTTTTTCCCTCTCATCCCTACCTACAAGTTGTATAGTTCATTTTCAACATAGTGTCTAGTGAGTACCACTGCTGCATTTGTCCCCCCTTTGTCCCTCCCTTTCTGTCCCTCCCTTCCTCCTTCTCTTACCCCCCCAAAGATAGATGACTAGACAAACAAGACAAAAAGAAAAGAAAAACAACAAATAGAAAACCCCTCATTTCCATTTCCTACTAAATAGTCAGAGGCACACGGGCCCTGTGCCTTTGTGTTCCTCCCCTAAGAATATCTGCACCGTGTCCTGTATAAATTATCATGTCCCCTAAAGCCCTATCTATTGAGCCACAGCTCTACTTCCAGCTTTTTGGAAGTTAATTAGAGATAAGAGTCTCCCAGACTTGGCTGCCTGAGCTGGCTTCCAACCATGATCCTCAGATCTCCTGAGTTGCTAGGATTACAGGCATGAGCTACCAGCATCCAGCCCTCTTCTCCTTCTTCCTCTTCTTCCTCTTCCTTCTCCTCCTCCTCCTTTTTCTTCTTCATCTTCTTCTTTTGTTGGTCATGGGGTGAACTCTGGGCCTGGCACTGTC